TGGCTTGCAGCCAATGGCAGGCTCCTGGGAGCTGGCTGAATGCTCCCGAGGAGCAGTGGAGGGCTGGCTGGCACCATCTGGCTTGCTCAACTTTGGCAAAAATGGAGTCAGGGGCAGCTGCAGGGTGGCTCAGGGCTATGAGGCCTGCTGCAAGCTGCAAACCCTGTCTGCAGAGTCTGCAGCTTTAAGAGCTCTGGGGGGAGGGGAGGGGTATAGAATTTTCCTGCATGTGGACAGAGTGGCCAGCAGGGCACCCTGGGAAGGGCTGGAGGCCCCCTATTTCAAAATAGCCCCTATTCTCTGTCTACACAGCGCCTATTCTGAAATAGCTATTTTGGAATAGGCGCTATTCTCATAGGGGCAGCTGCAGGGTGGCTCAGGGCTATGAGGCCTGCTGCAAGCTGCAAACCCTGTCTGCAGAGTCTGCAGCTTTAAGAGCTCTGGGGGGAGGGGAGGGGTATAGAATTTTCCTGCATGTGGACAGAGTGGCCAGCAGGGCACCCTGGGAAGGGCTGGAGGCCCCCTATTTCAAAATAGCCCCTATTCTCTGTCTACACAGCGCCTATTCTGAAATAGCTATTTTGGAATAGGCGCTATTCTCATAGAATGAGGTTTACAAAACTCGAAACAAGCCATCCGCTATTTCGAAATTATTTTGAAATAGCAGTTTGGCTGTGTAGATGCTCACAAAGTTATTTGAGAATAGCAGTCATTATTTCAAAATAACTTTGCTGTGTAGACGTACCCTAAGGGTTCATCTACACAGAACCCTAAACTCTAAATAAGATACGCAATTTGTGCTATGCAAATTGTGTAGCTTATTTCAAAACTATTTCAAAATAGCTTATTTTGAAATCTGGCGTGTCTACAAGTGCCAAATTTCAAAATAACGTGCTATTTCGAACCATTCCTTATCCCTTGTGCAACAAGGTTTACCGGGATGTAGAAATAACATGCCCATTATTTCGAAAAATATTTTTGAATAATGGGCGGCTTGTGTAGACGCAGAGTAGCTATTTAGGGATACCTCTGGTACATCTACACTACAGGATACATCTACACTACAGGATAAGGTCAAATTAAGATATTCAACGTCAGCTACGTCCATAGTGTAGCTGAAGTCTAAGTACCTTAACTTGATCTTTGGCACTGTCCACACTGAAGTAAGTTGAAGGAAGAACAATCTCCCTTTGACTTTCCTTACTCCTCATGGAAGCAGGACTACCAGCATCGACTGGAGTGCTCCTCTCAGTTCAAATTAGTGTGTCTTCACTAGACCCGTTAATTCGAACCCTTGAAGATAGACAGCAGCAGCTTCAATCTTCTCTGTAGTGTATACATACCCTAAGGTGCCACTGGACTACTTGTTGTTTTTAAAGTTACAGACTAACACAGCTACCCCTCTGAGATTTTCAAACAAAAAAACAATCACCCTAACAGTAATGAATTATATGTTATATGCTGTTGGCACAGGCTCTAGTCCAGCTGTTTGAAAGTAGTACAAATGTCAAACAATAACTATAAACAGCAGTCCTGGCCTTCTCCCACTCCCCAGGGTTGGGATAACAATTTGTTGCTGTCTGATTGGAAATCATCAGAATTGTTCTACAAATAAATTTACAGATCTGTTCCCAGAAATCCATCAACTTTGCAAAGGATTCAGTATGCTAATTTCATAGAGAACAAAAAAAAGCATTTAATTGAACCCCAATAGTGACATTAACAACATGAGTATACACCATGGTGCCCCTATGAATAATAAATACAAGGAGTTTGACTGTACTATACTTAAAAACTACTACTGACATGAGACGTAGTTTCTTTCCTGAAAACAGGCACAAAAAACCAAGAAACCACTCTGTATCTTCAAATCTGAGAACAAAATCTCCAGAGATGCTTGTGTGCTATACTTTACTGAAAGTTTCAAACCAATATACTTTAGCCATAAAAAAGAGCTTTTGAGTAGCTGTTGTTTTCCCCTGCATCCATCTATCCATTTCCTCTGCATTCAGATGAACAAACTTAAATCTCTCTCCAAAAACTGAAAAGTTATTCCAGAAACAAAAGGAAATTATTTCTGTTTTCCCTGCACTGAGTTTAACCTTCAGATAAAAATGCAAGCACCGAAGTGATAAAGGAATAAAACTGTCACAATTAAAAGACTCCATATGTAGGTTAGTCAATCCCTAAACCCCACCCTTTCCACATTAAAAAACTGAATGCGTGCCTAGAGTGTAATGTACTGAGATGTGGTTGTTCCATAAAATGTTCGTACAGTGAAACAAAAATAATAATACTTCAGCATTTGTTTTATGTAAACTTGCTGTAACAAAATCATTATTGCCAACAGTGCTCCAAGCAAGCAGCAGCAGCTCTCACATGACAACAAGTCCCATCATTTTTGTCCCTAGAAGGAAAAATATACCAGAAATGTTCCTGAACTGTAAAAGCAAAAGAAAAACAAAGAACTGAATGTTTCACTGGAACAAGAATAAAAAATAATGCACAGGATGTAATGGAAGGAAATACAGTATAAAAGAAAGGCAGACGCTCATCTGATGCTATTATTTGACCTGGCAGGCAGGGTTCACTACCATTTTCTCATGCCCTTCTCTCCCCAGCTATATCCTACACACTGCAGTATGTTCCACATTGTTTTACACTTCTCAGACTGAAGTCACCCCATTACAGGTTTTCCTATCTTCTCCCCAGCTACCATTTATGCTGTATCATTACAACAGTTCTTTCTTTTGTCTTCTTGTTTACTGAACTGATCGCTAATAGTACAGTTCATGCTGCTTCTCTGTTGCAGTAGAAAACAAAACAGAACACACAGCTATTCTTACCTTTCTAAGAGTTAAAGTTTTCTTTTTCTTCAAGACATTTCTATGAATCTAGTCACCTCAAAATGAAGGAATGATACCACTGACAATTCAGACCTGCACTATCCAGTTATCCCAGCCTAGAGGCTCCCTGAAGCCAAGATCATAAATCATATTAATCTGAAAGATAGGTTTTTTGACAATCGAATAAACGACAAGATGCCAGGAATGTGATTTAATTAGGCCATAATGTTATTAACACAGCTGGGAACAATGCAGCAATAACTTATCCAGTGCAATTCATCCTTTCTTTGTAATTCAAGCTTTTCTTTAAAACCCAAAATGATGCCTTTGGGTAGAGAGAAGGGCTTATAACATTTATCTTTGGATGCCTAAGAATCTATAGGCTTATACTTCACTGCTTCCGTCCAACCAGCCTCTGAAAGCATCTCCACACCTGACTCTTGTTGAGTCCATGGGGTGTGGAGGGCTGGCATGAATCCTTATAGGGGTTAAAGGTTTCTCTTTCTCCCCCTCATCTCCACCGCCCCCACTCAGATAAAGCTTCCCAACCTCTGCGGTTCAGGGGACCGGCGGGGAAATTTTCACTAACTATATTATTTTGCTGCACTGTTTAATTAATAAATAATTCTATCACACCAAAGCATAAAAGCATAAAAATTCACCTAAGAAATAACTTAGCATCTCTCTCTAGATATATAAACATTTTTGTGCAGCTTAAACAAGGTTCCTCTGTTAAACCTTTAAGTAAGCCTGATCAGTCCTTATATGCAAGAAATTTTTATCTACCCATTTTTAATGCTAAACCCTCTTTACAAACATCTCTTCCTGAAGCAAGAATATGTAGCCTTGTTACCAATTGCACTCAATCATTGCTAATCATTCCCTCATATAACCATATCTGCATCACTATTTGAACATAGTTCAATTCAACTTCTTAGTAACACCACCTAGGATACCCCGACTTAAAGAGCTTTAAAGAGTTAAATGCAAAATCAATTGGTGTAATATTAAGCAGCATTCACCTACCATGAAAAGGGTTTCATAGTTTTCAATCATCTTTTGTACAACAGCAATGATTGCAGTACTCTCCTCCGCTCGAGCTGAACTTTGAACTGTGAATTCTTTGTCTGTAGACTTTTGCTTGTGCAACAGGTTAGGCCCAAATATAGTGGCCAGGTTCAGTGATGTCATTTTGTTCCCAGTAACCTAGAAGAAAAAGAATATTAATCAGTGGCATGTTTTCTCTGGCTATGGATCCTTAGTTGGTATTCCTATCAGGTCAGAGCAAGAAGCTCATTGCTTCTGAAAGATTCTCCTCCTACGAAGCCAGGAAGTAGAAGAATAGGACCTCATGGCCTCAGCAAACTGTTGCTGCTCTAGAACAGCTGCTGCTCCCCAATGCTGCTACCATCTACAGGCAATGACACTTCCAGGAGGACAGAATTAAAAAAAACCCGTATGGACACAAGATACTCAAGGTAACTAGATAACTGAGGATTGTGTGTATTACTTTTATTCTTTCCCTTATTTGGTTCCTGAACAGGGCCAATTCTTTTCACTTCTACCCCTGTAATCATATGACCTTGGATAAACTTCTGGATACAAAATAAGAATAAGAATAGACAAAAATTCTCTGAAAAAAAATGTATCATAAGGATTAGTCAGGACAATTTTCCAATATCAAATTTGCAAGGAGCAGATTTGATCTTCCTCTATGTGACTCCATCTGGTTGCTATTTTGGGAACGCTACAAAAACAGCCAGGACTTCACTGAACAAGACTTCATGTAAATTCCAGATGTTGACTAACTAGGCTTAGGATGTGGGAGTGGGAGATTTTGAGGTGGAAGAAGAGAAATGAAAATATTCATTATTTTTCCCACATCTGAACTATATACAATAATTTAATAAAACAAGGCACAAAGTAGCATTCCAGAAGACTTCCGCAAGATAATTCTTCTTTCAAATAGAATTCTGAGTTTTTCAGTAGTTTTGTGCACTGTACTTTATGTACCTGCTAAAGTTCTATCTTGTTGAGTAGAATTCTATTGCATGGACAGCTAGGTTAAAAATAAGCATTTTTGCTTGCATAAAATTAATAACTGTATTAGTCTTTGCAGATCTGAGGCTTTAATAATTAATAAATAATATATTATTTTGCTAACAATTATGCTTCATTACACACACTGTCCTTAACTCTTACAATATTATCAGGATGGTATACATGAATTTGCTTTTGTTAGAGTATATATGGCAAGCAAATACATTCCTCAGGAGGATTCAGGCATTTACCACAGCTACTGTACCAGTTCTCTTAATCAGCTTTAGGTGCTAACCTTGCAATTAATTTCACAAGGGCAGACTCCTAAACCAACACAAAACTAGGGAAGGATTAGGACCTAATTGCTATACCTCTAAGCTATTCTCAGCACAATAAATATCATTATAGTCCACTTTTTATTGCTATACCTCTAAGCTATTCTCAGCACAATTCTCATTATAGTCCACTTTTTTTTAAAAAAAATGTCCTCCATTATTACAAGTCTACTTAAACTACAGAGAAATTGCACAATTTTAGCATGCTGGTCAGGGCATAAATAGCAAATTGTAATGGATGTCTCTCAAAATGTGTTACACACCTCCACAAAATTTGACATGACCAACCCATGAAAAACATGATTTTTCAGCAGTATTTCTTAATGTAGAGGCCTACACCCAAAAGGGGATCACAGTCCTACTAGGGGATTTGCAGTACTGCCACCCTTAATTTCTGTGCTGCTGATGGCACTGCCTTCAGAGCTGGGTACTCAGGCAGCAGCATCCGCTCTCTGTTCTGCCTTCAGAGTGTGGGCTGGGCACCAGATTTCATGGGAAAGAACAGATTCCACGGTCGGTAGCACAATTTTCATGGCTGCAAATTTCATAGATTCCTAAATATTATGTCTGTACTTCTCCACCACCTGGTAAGTGGAGTGGAAAACTCAGTGCGTGAATAGCAGCACTTTGGATGGGATTTTTAAAAATGCCTAAGTGCATGTGTGATGGAGTGAAGCAAGCCCGCACTCAGATGGGGCCCCATGAGCCGTGGCGTACCAGAGAGGAGCAACCCCGCACCCAAACGGGGCCCCACGAACCGTGGGAAGTCAGGTGGGATGAGATGAATCACCCCGAGACAACGGCCGGCAAAGCTGAGTGGGACCCAGGAGAGAGACCGAATGGGGCTGAGAGGGGGACCAACGGTGCAGGCACGGTAAGCACGGGGCCGGAAAAAGGGACAGGCACCAGTTAATGATGTCACCCGCCGACGCAGTGAGGACATCCCCGCCCACTCGCTGGAGCCTCAGGAGGTGGGCGTAAGCAAGGTGGGACATTCAAAAGGGATGCTCGCTGCCCTGGAGAGGGGGCGCCGGGCAGAGCACCGGAGAAACAAGGAGGTAGGTAGAGGAGGTGGGTAGGAAGTGGTCCAGGGAGGGGTCGTGGAGCCCGCAGGCTGGCACATTTAGGGGCAATTCATCCGTCAGTCAGGCAAGGGATACGGATATCCCTAACTTAGGGCCCTGGGCCGGGAACTGGGAGTGACGGAGAGCCCGGGTCCCCTCCCTCACCACACCTCCCCCGACTGATCTCTAGTTGCTGGCGAATCACAACAGTAGGGACGGAGGCTAGAAGGAACCCAGGTCTTTGGGTAGGGCCCTCCAACCGTATCTTGCAACAACGCTCGTTAACTGTAATGAGTGACAGCATAGGCAGTTGGTGAAGGTAGGGATGGGGAAGGCAAGCCTCAACCCCAACTCCAGTTATGCCCCTTCTACTGAGGTCCTGGCCTCACCCCCCTGGGGAGGTGGGGCAACGTGCCACACATGCCTCCCACACACAGTGTGCCACACATGTGCCTCCCAAACATGGGGACGGGGAGGTGGGTGAGTGGGTGCATGCTCTTCCCAGCCTCCCCAGCCCCGGAGCACCAGGGAGGGAGGAAGGTGCGTGTCAGACCCAGAACACCGGGGAAGGGAGGAGGACTCGCAGCATGGCCCTAGCCCTGGAGCACCAGGGAAGGGAAGAGGGTGTGTAGCGTGGCCTCCCCGGAGCACCGGGAAGGGAGTAGGATGTACAACTACAGCCTCTCCAGCCAGGAGCACGGGGAGGGCGGGTGCTTGGGGCACCAACACTCCACCCCCAAAGGCCTACGGCAGGCATTCTGGGGGCAGAGTGTGGGCGGGACCATGCCTGGCTGGCTACCAGATGCCGATGACTAAGTTCCACAGCACTATTAACTTTCAGTGGAATTTGTCCCCAAAATCCACTTAAACCTTTATATAAGTTCCACCCATAGACATCCAAATAACTGATTTCACCAAACACTGTGTAGGATGTCCCAAGGGGCGAAAGCTAAAAGCCATAAATAATTAAAAATAAGTAATAAATGCTTTTCACCCACACACCTCAAAGTGCTTTACAAAAGTGTTTAATAGGGTAGGATCCACAAAGGTACCTAAATCTTGGATCTAGACTTTGCCTACACTTTAATGATTCACAAAACTTTCAAGAAATGCTGCTGGTACCTAAACTCACTCAGTACTAAAGTTTACAATGTAAAGTTTCCTAGGTGCCTAAGTTTCTGCCTCTGGGCTTGTGCTTGACATACCCCTCTCTCCTCAGTATCTCCTATTGGCATGTTTAGTAGCTCCCTACATAGTGCTGGCTGTTGTGGGTTGCATTCTTAGGCGTTTATCTCAGACTGCAATGTTGTTGTCCTTTAATTTTTCTAAGTGGCATGACACTCAGCATTGCAATATTTAAACCCCTTCATGAATCCCACTCATCATCCCTATTTTATATTGGTAAACAACTGACTTGCCCAGTGTCTCTCTCTAAGGGTATGTCTACACTACCACCCTAGTTCGAACTAGGGTGGTAATGTAGGCAACCGGAATTGCAAATGAAGCCCGGGATTGGAATTTCCCGGGCTTCATTTGCATCTTGCCAGGCGCCGCCATTTTTAAATGTCCGCTAGTGCGGACTCCGTGCCGCGCGGCTACATGCAGCACGGACTAGGTAGTTCGGACTAGGCTTCCTATTTCGAGCTATCGTTACGCCTCGTTTTACGTTTCACATTTAAAAATGGCGGTGCCCAGCAAGATGCAAATGAAGCCCGGGAAATTCAAATCCCGGGCTTCATTTGCAACTCCGGTTGACTACATTACCACCCTAGTTTGAACTAGGATGGTAGTGTAGACATACCCTAAGTCAGTAGCACAGCCAGGAATAAAGAGCAGATCCTTCGACTCATGTTCCAAATAATATAATGGGATAAAACTAAACCAGGATAAAAACCAGAATGGATTGAATTAACTATTTCTTAACAGTGAAGTCCATTAAGCTATGAATCTCCTACAGAAAGTGGTGGATGCCTCATTGATTAAGTCATTTAAGAACTACAATAAATAACAGTCTCAGGAATACGCTGTAGTAAACAACTCAAGGGCAAGAGGAAAGACAGTATGAAGTCTATTCCATCTTAACTGCGTATGATTCTAGGGTCTCTGTTTCTCATCTTTATAAATATGTCTTCAGAGCAGGAAGTAATGGAAGCCAAAGAACATACCTCCTGGCCATCTTTGTCTGTGCTGTCTTCTGCATGGCTAGCCACCATAGAGAGGAACTGCAGGAGTCTGTGTAGGGTGTCACAGTTACAGGGAGGTAGAAGATAAATAAGAAGCTGTAAGGTGCTTAGTTGTTCATCTGGTTCTAATACTAAGAGGGAAAAAGAAACATCTAAGAAAAAACACTGAAACTAACCTAAAGGCAATACACATACACTCAGCAGTGTTCCAGCTAAAAGAATAACATTTTTGAAGAGACTTGCAGGTTTTCCATACCTTTTCCAAGGTAGGTTGATACAATTTTAAACACATGACAAACAAAATTTTCTGTTTTATTTTGTCTGAGTCAATTGTCTCAGCCAATAGTGGAGCTGTAGGATTAGTAGTGTCAGCTATTACAAATTTAAACTCTGCTTAAATGAACAGAGTTTAGTACTGTACCTTATAATAGATAGATAGATAGATAGATAGATAGATAGATAGATAGATAGATAGATAGATAGATAGATAGATAGATAGATAGATAGATAGATAGATAGATAGATAGATAGATAGATAGATAGATAGATGTGCACACAGATACACAATGGATATTGATGGCATCCAGGAGACTTTTAGTTTTAAAGTATCTTCTTAGTATTTATGCTTTAATCATTTTAATTAGTTGTCTTACAGCTTTCTTTCCTAGAGTGCATCTAGGAAACTGAAAAAAAGCAAGAAAGCTCATGATTCTGCTCTTGTCTGTAGCCAGATCATACCGCTAAATACAATGTTAGCCAATAGAAAGAGCTGGGTCTTAAGCAAGATATCGAATCTGAAAACCACAGATGGATCGGAGTACACAAATGAGTTTGCAGTAGGGATGTTACATGTAGTTTAATCAACTAACTGACTAGTCGATGATATTGTCATCGACTGGTAGATTAGTCGATAAGTGGGGGAGCCGCAGCAAGGTTAACTCCTGGCCCCAGGAGCTAATCCCGAGGCAGCTCTGACTTTTAAGTGTATTAAGAGCAGGCAAGCTGGAGTGCAGTGGGGGGGACCCAGTGCGAGCTGGGAACCAGCTGTCCCACTTGTGCTAGGTCCCCATCACTGTGCACCAGCCTTTTAAATGTATTAAGAACCAGCAGGCTCCCATCTGGGACAGGACGCAAGCCAGGAATCAGCTGATTCCCAGCCCATGCCCAGTCCCCGCAATCCCCCTGCCCCGCGTGGAGACAGTGCTGGGAGGAACCAGTTTTTAAGCTGTCTCTCTCCCGCACAGGCGAGAAGAGTGGGGAGAGAGCAACTAGTCAAGGGACTAGTCAACTAGTTGCTTACATCCTTAGTTTGCAGCTTGAACATCTTTCTTATATAGACCAAATTTAAACACTCCAAAATCTGGCAGGCCTTCAATTCACATTTGCAGTGTATGTACCCCCACATGCAGGAGCGTTTTGAACTATGGCTGCGAGGCCCAGGAACTGTCATGAAGTGGGGAGAGAGCAACTAGTCAAGGGACTAGTCAACTAGTTGCTTACATCCTTAGTTTGCAGCTTGAACATCTTTCTTATATAGACCAAATTTAAACACTCCAAAATCTGGCAGGCCTTCAATTCACATTTGCAGTGTATGTACCCCCACATGCAGGAGCGTTTTGAACTATGGCTGCGAGGCCCAGGAACTGTCATGAAGTCTGAATCTGAGTGGAAAGTTAGGATCTTGGGTTTCAGTCTGTGTAATGGGGTATTGTCGACTGATCAGCCTACCCCATCACGTGGCTTGACTGTTTAACGTTTGAAAGGTCCTTACTATATAAAAATCTAGGTATTAATCATAGAGAGGAAGCATTCCTGGCAATAAGTGGAGCTTGGTGAAAAAAAATCTCAAGTAGCCATGAGGAGAGGAAAGATAAGGCTCACCTCTCACACAACCCACTGCGAATGATCTAGGACAAGGGGACCAGCATAAACACTACCTATTCCCTCCCTCAAAGCAGGAGAAGGCTGCCAAACTCTGACACTGAGAATGAGGTGGAGCCAGCTGAGGGAGAAGATGAATAAGGTCATACTGAAAATTTAACTACTGCCTCCTCCAGGAGGGCAGATGAAAATTCCTGGCATAAGGAGAGAGTCGATAACTGCCTGAATTACTCAGCTCCAGGAGGGCTTATAGAGAAATAATGACTTTTGAGCTGGGGACTCCTGGCTTAAAAACAGGAGTGATAGCCACTTGCATTGCCCAAGCTCCATGGTAGCAGTCCTGAGGCCAAGTGCTATACAAGAGGAGCAAAGAACTGTGAGCTGAGGAGGGATGAAAGACTTTCCGTTTGTGATAATGTGGGACTACTGTTAAAGGGACTCTTTATTTTGCGATGAGTACAACAGGAGGGGAATAAACTCTCAAATGTGCAGGCCAGAGGCTAGCGTTGACCAATATGAGTTGGCAACCAAGGGGAAGACAAGCAATCAGGCACCCAAAGGAGGGTACCAGACAGTGAGCTGTTTTTGGACATATGAGGTTCATTGGGGACTGAGACTTCATTACACTCCCCATGGGTCAATTGTGATCAATAGCTAAAAAGAGTTAAAAACCATTATAATGCCTATATGGCAATACTCATGCAGTAGGAAACAGGATACAAGAAACATTTCTTTGGCATAATTATTTTTTAGATGGGCACTGTATAAAATTGCTCAGAGCTATGGAACACTGGAACTAATCCAGGCATTAGTGGATTAGTGGGCAGAGTACAACTAAAGTGATAACAAGTCCATGAAATATATGACATAAGCACACGGCTCTGTCATTTACCTTATTACCATATTAAGCACTCAATGCAAAATTTGAGTCTAATGGGGCAGGAACTTCTACCTGAAAACCCCCCACTAATTTTAATATAACACTGCATAAACATAAGAATTTGCCTTTGCAGGTCCAATTACAGAATCAGGGATTAATATGTTACACCATATGACCACCATGTGTATGGTATATGTATACACAAGCAAAGAGAGAATGTGATGAGCTTTTTTTCCTGTGCTGTACCTATCCAGCATCAAAAGTAAATAAAGCCCTTTACAACATGTGAGAACATTTGCAAAAATTTGTAATGAACTGGAAGTAGAGAGGGCTCGGGTTTGTAAATAAAAGGCTGTTAGTAGCCTTGGGGAGCATGTAGAACTGAGCTGGTGGGAAAAAACGTTAAAAGAAGAAGTTGTATCGCTCACGGAGAGTATTGATGAAGGCGGTATAAAGTTCTTTGGTCAGAAGAGGATCTGGCATGTCTCGTAGAAATTCCTTTAATAAAGCAGCAACGTCATGGATGCTGTGTTCTTCTTCTAACGCAACATCTACACCACGATCAAACTCTTCCCGTAACTGGAAAAATAATAGTCACATCACAACATCTTCATCAGTATTGTACATTGCCTAAGAGAACATCTATATCTATATTTATATTTATATGTTAGAGAATCTGTCTGTCGGCATGACCACCCATCTGTCTGTCAGTACATTTGTTCAAGAACTTCTGTTAAACGGTAAGAGCTAGGACTATCAAATTTGGTATGCAGCTTCCTCTTATCCTAACCTAAAGCAAAGTCAGGGTTGGGTTGTGCTGGGTCAATGGGATGTGCCTGAAATTATTGTTTTCCATAACAATGAAAGGAAGGAGTTTGATAAGAGGGACAGTTCTGCTCTACAATGACCACAGGGGCAAGTGAGCAGAGAGGACATTATGCTGCAGAATGACCACAGGAGGGTGGCTGCAGCAGGACGAGAGTGGCTGGGGCCGGGGATCTCCATGTTGCCATTGGCTGGGGTCAGCAGAGCCCCATCCCCTTCCAGAAGGAGCCAGCAGCCAGTGCTGCCCACCTGCCCTGGGAACAACCAGCAGCTGGGCCCGGCAGGCACAGCCTTGCCCCCACCCCTGGAAGAGCCACCAGCAGTGCAGCCGTTCCATCCACTCCAGGAGCAGCTGCTGGACACGGCTGAGCAGTTCAGCTCCTCTCAGGAGTAGGAGGGCAGTTGCCCCAGGCACCTGGCCTGAGCCCCCCACTCGCTGCCCTAAATTGTGCACCCTCACTCCCTGCCCTGACTTCTCCCATATCTTCCAGCCCCCTGTCCTGAGTCCCCATATAACCAACACTAGGCAGATTTGAACCTGGGACTTCTGCCCTGAGCCCCCAACACCTCCCAGCCATGTGCCCTGACTCCTGCACCCCTACCTACTGCGCTGACACCTGCAGTGCCTGGCAACACACTGGCAACTCCTGCCCAGAAGGACCAAGTAATTCTGAGTACGTCTTCTATTATTGTTATATATGGATTTATTCACATTACCATTTTATATTTGCTGTTCTTGGGAAAAGCAGGCAAACTCCTCACATTTTGTTGCTATTTTCATTATTGTACAGAATGCCTGGTCTGTGCCAGACACATTTTAAAAGGAGGGGGATTTTGTTTTTTCAATTTATTTATGGCATTCTTTTATAAAAAACAGTGTGCACATGAACTCTTCAGGAGCAGAGAAAGGCTACACGTCATGCTGCACAGTGTAGAGATTTTCTTAAGAGGAATAAATAACGAAAATGGAGCCAACAATTAAATTTCTATTGTAACCTGAGAGTGGATTGCAATTGAGTGAGACATGAGAAGCCAACTTTGCAAACACATAGTGGCACCTTGCCTTGACATTTCCTACTCCTCCTAACCATGTATTTATTTTCACAGAGTGATCACCATTAAAAAGTGAACAAACAGCAAAGTGACCTCATCACAGCATCTGAGTTACTGCTGTTGTTTCCAGCCATAATCATAATCAAGAGCACAAGAGATGAGCAAGTCCAACACTACTGGCAGCAACAGATTTGCCAAACAGGATATGGTGAGTTTAAGCCACTAGTCCTGCCTTTTACATATACACTGCCAATTTTGCATAGTGAGTACACATTGAATGCCATAAAAGTTTGTTGCAGTCCCATTTCCAGTGTATGTACTACCTGCAGCACCCACAAAAATGTTCTACATATGCCTTCTTCAAGCTGAACACACCTTGTTAGCCTTGTATTCAAAGCTGAAATAGTGATGCATGAGGTTGTGTTTTCTAGGAATACAGCACTTCAAATCTTTGCTGGCATGCAAGGAAATTCCAAATATTGAAATCATCTCAATGACTAATTGTAGGTACAGGTGGCTCAGGACAAGAAATGAAGGCCCCACCCCCAATTTACTTGTAGTAAGATTGAGGTGCATACAGGCAAATGACAGACACAAGAGCAAGCACATTACCACGTGCTTACATTGATCTTAGTCTTGAGTAATGAGAAAAGATGTAAACGTAGATGAGTGTGGAAAATGCCACCATTTTTAATGCAAACTTGGTCCAAATGTTGACACTTTGGGGATGTTTAAAGCCTTGGTGTAAAAACTGGGGTCCTCTTTTCACTGTGAACCTTACTATGAAGTATGGGATTCCCACAATTCAGCACGAAGCCTAGATCAGCCACTTTGGTCTTAATCTATTATTAGAGTTCCCTGCCCACAAAGCACTGCTTCATAGGTATATTTATTCCATCTGAAGACTAAAGGACTCTATTCACAACACAATGCCAGTGCTCAGATTGGGTGGCCGTGTTATCATGGAGTATCATAAGTACAGCTGAGTGAATACTTTTTTTTTTTTTTTTTGGTTTAATGGCCAAACAAAACTAAAAAAATACAGTGTAACCTTATTCTGGTTTCTTTGAGCTGAAACGATATTTTCCAATGAAATGAGCATTTCCAATACTTCTAATTACAGCATCTAGCTCTTACATAATGCTTATGACACAAAATCACCAGAATGGCCCCCAAAGGGATGTTCTAATTAAAGAACATCAGACGTACATTATCCATGGAATTATTTTGGTTTGACACACAACACAAGCAGTGTAAAAAAGGAAATGTTTTTCCATTTCTCATTACTGATCCTTCAAACACACTGCTTTTAATTACAGTGTTTTCACCAGACTTTAGGAAGTATACTTGTTAGCATTTAACAATGGCTTCCAATTGAGGTTTAAGAGAGGACAGTAAAATGGTTTATATATTTGCAATAGCTCTAAAGCTTCCTTCTCTGCCAGGGAAGCCAACAGCCAGCCTTGGGCAAAGAGTGTGAGAGAGAGAGAGAGAGTGAGAGTGAGAGAGAGAGTGTGTGTGTGTGAGAGAGTGAGTGAGAGTGAGAGTGAGAGTGAGAGAGAGAGAGAGACACGGAAGAGTCAGGCCGTGTGAGAGTGAGAGTGAGAGTGAGAGTGAGAGAAAGACACGGAAGAGTCAGGCTAGGCAGCCAGCCCTCAGCACAGCTCAGACCGCAAGTGTGTGTGAACTCCCCACCCCTTAGAGCTACCTGGAGCGTGCCACAGTAGCAGCAGCTGGTAGTCCTGGGCTCTTCTGAATATCACTCCATCCTCCCAGTCAGCAGCTCTGTTCTCTGCTCAACAACCCAAACAAATCCACTGGTCCCCGCATTTGCAAAGAAATTTGCCTGACATAGAAAACTCTCACTTCTGTTGTCTATTGTCTATATCCTCCATAAGCACAATTTAAAAACTGTAGCCTTCAATGGTACAAAAAATGGACAGAATTGTAATTGAATCCAAACCTTACATTTCCCCCATTTTATGTTCATGATGTTCATTTATTATTGTTACTGCAGAAGGTCAAGGCACTTCCATGTTGTTTAATAAAATACATGAGTTGATTTAATTAAATTACTTTAATTTAATAAAAAATATCAAACTCTTTTGCCAAGATACTTTTTTGAAAGCTCATTTTAAAAGGGAAAACAGGTGGTAAATGACTTTCAAAGTAGACATTAGCTCATTGACTAGTTAATGATTGCACAGCCTCAGGTTCATTCGGTGGGCATGACATGGTTGTAGGTTTGCACTTGCCTTTGCTTAAACAATAGATATTTTGTAGTTAAAGCCTGTAACTCAAACAGTAACTTATTTTTGCATGATTTTGCTAATTTAGAGGGTGATCTGTAAGCTGTCTTGGTAGAATGAAAATGTACATAGCTCACTCATTGGTCAGAATGGGCTGGCTGGAACAGTAATCTACAACTCTAAGGAATATTGAATCCTACATTGCAGAATGCCAAGAGCAGAGCTAGATTACCCATCTAAGTTCACTTCTAAGAGGGTCAGGCCTGTGTTGTGCAGGACCTCTGATTTTCAGGATCCAGCCCAAACAGCTGTCTTTTTTGCTCTTTTATACCATATTCTTGTACCATATTCTCTTTTGTACCATATTCTTTACGGATACCTCCTGGTAACCTTTGATTTTCAGGATTCAGCCCAACCAGCTCTGTCTTTTTGCGTTTTTGTACCATATTCTTTACTGTGATACCTCCCTGTAACTGTACTGCTCTACTTCCAAATTCAGTATAACTAGCAGATATTACAAGGTTATTCTCTGTCACACATATTTTAGTGTATGTGTGTGGCTTCTGGGAGGGAGTATGAGAGTTAAGTCCCAGCTTGGTCTTTATCATTGGATCCTCATGGTGCAGAATCTTTGCTTTCTCAATGTTTTGCTGAGAATGGGACTTGGTCAGAGTGAACTGATTGGGGTAGGAGAGGTGATGATGCTTAGGAGAAGGAATTTGTGGGTCCAAGGAGTTGATTTCTCCCTATATCAGGGCTACTCAACACACAGCCCATGAGCCACATGCGATCTGCGGCCCATTTGTGGCCCGCGGCGGTTTGGGTTTATGTGGGGCTCAACATTCGACCCACAGGTAAGATCATTTGAACGTAGCCTCCACTGGGAACACAATGGTGAGGTGTCTCCCAGGCGTGGTGAGCACTGAAAGACACAAACGGACGGGCTGGCTGGAACAGATGGGTACAGGGTGCCGGCATTTCTAGCCCCCAGGGAGAAAGTGCTGGGAGCACAAGGGCATTGTGGGAAGTGCTTTGTATTCATGCCTGTCAGTATGAAATAAGCTATTTGCATATATTTGCATATATATTTGCATGTAAATGCAACCATACTTAAGTTGCGGCCCTCGGCATGTGCTGTATCATTGTGGCCCCTGGGGCTTCCAAAGTTGAGTAGCCCTGCCCTATATAATTTAACATCCTGGAACTTTTGTGTAAGGGATTGGCAATTTTATTTATTTTGTAATCTTCAGTTCTTTCTGGAATCTTAGAACAGGCAGCCAGGAATACCCCCTCCCCTCTAGTGGGTCCAGTCATTTGTAAACTTTTCTTTCAAACCTTGCCACTGTAGCATATTCAAATCTCATGCACTACGTTGCTTCCTAGGGTGCCAGATGATCCAGACTACACTGAAATTGCTAACCTGCTGAGACCCTGACATAGCCTTTACCAAAGGCAAAAGTAGGTAATTAAAGTTGGGAAGAGAGAGCATTTTTTAACTTGGAAAAAAATCAGGTTTAGTTCAAGATTTAAGTTAAAATTCTTGTTTTCTTTGAGCTCTTCCTGACTGGAAGGGTATTGGAAACAGCCTACTCAGAGCTCCCATAGATAATACACAAATACCATAAAGTCACTTCTACAAAAAGCCCTGCTTTCATTGGCTCTGGGAGGGGGAAAGTAATTGCATTCCTGGAAACTCTATAGGTGTATCATGAAAACCAGCTAAGTTCATGTAATTAAATGTTCGCTCACCTGTCTTACTCTCTTTTTTGAGCTTCCAACTCTGAATATTCCCACTGTCTGAAGACCTGCAAGCACAGTAGTAGACTGTTTCACTGTTTAAAACTCTGTCAGAAGCATTGAAACAAAAGCAATCTGAGCTATGTTCATTAGTACTACAATAGAGAATAAAAGCATTTCTCTAAACATGTGCTTACCCAGGAAACTTAAGGTGACTTGGCATATGGTGTTTCTCAATGTAATCAAACATCTAGAGTATCTGACCTGCAGAACTGCATCTCAGTGCTTTTTTTTTTTTTTAATCATATTTTCAGGAAATGTCAATGTTACATCACGGGGCAGGCAGAAAGATGGATATTGTGATTGCAGTTTTGCTTCAAGGGGAAGTACATCTAACAGCGACATCACAGGCAGGAGAAGTCTCCATAGTTGGGACACTGGGTAGAGGCATCAGGGGTGGGCCTTAGGACACTATTGCCAATGTCAGTATTGGGATTTTCCCTGCTTTGGGGAGTGCCTTCTGTGGACTCAGGGGAAAGAGGGTATTTAGATTGAAAAAGAACTGTGAAGAACTTGACCTGGCAGGTAGATACAGGGAAGACTGGTTGGGGAAGAGGTTTTTATTAAAGGTGAAAATGAGAAGAAGTTGTATTTGTACTTTTGGCTGGTTACTTTTTTGTTGTTAGTCAGTCTGGTCATGTAGACTGTAAGCACAATGAGCAGGGGCCCTTAGGTGCTACCAAAATAGAAATGATTAATAATATTTTGCTGCTGTATGAATATTCATGAGATATTCACTCACAGGTTAGCAAACACTAGCAATCAAATTTGGCAACTGATCTCATTTTATAAGCAGGTTCTTCTTGTGCGATAAGAATCTGAAGTCAAAATAGCAGTGGTCAAATGCTTTAGGTGAATAATATTATTATAATGAAGTGGTTTAAAATATACTGTAAATGAGTTAAAATGTGTAGCATAATAAAAATCGTACAAACATGAGTTTGTATGCTTCTTTGAGTATATAATGTTTGTCTACATGCCAGAGCCCTACTGAAAATTAGTTTGACCTAAAGCAAAAGGAAGTACACTTACCATGTTTTTCTAAATGCTGGCAGCAGCTATCTACAAGCCGAGGAACCTGTCTATAAATAGGGTTCAGACTTAATTTCTTATCCCTTGCCTTTTCTTTCTTGCTTTGAGCTTCTGCTGGCAAAGAGAGCTGTAGCGCTTCCAGCAGTCGGGACTGATTGTCATCAAGATCTGTAATAGAATCTACAGACATTGCACCCTGAAAAAAACATATAAATGTACAATTGGTAAGACTAGAATCAACTAAACAGGTTCCTTCCCTCAAAGGCATAACTAATGAAGTCTTTTGACCATTGATTTTATATATTAAACAACATAACAAAGTGCCTCTGATTCTCCACTTCATAACACTGCTTTACACCAATGGAGTTACACCAGTATAAAATCACTGTTCTGAAATGGAGAATCAGTTCCATTGTATAAAAGAAGCCCAATTCACTGTTATTCTGCACTTTGTGTACATGTATTGTCGCAATGGGTAATAAAACCGATACTAAATGTTTTACACCCACTTTGTGCTTATTTTTACTTGTATAATTGCGTAAAGTATGTGCATAAATCAGCCCCAGTGTGTGTGTATACATTATACACATTATATATGTAAACATATACATGTGTGTATATGTATTCATTCAAACGTTTTAAATGGGACTACATCGCTATTTTTTCTACACCTTGTGTAATTACTCCAGTGGTTATAGGGGGATGTAAAATTGGGCTTACAATGGAGAGATTCTTCTAAAACATCAACAATTTGGGATGAGATTTTTAAAAACATCTAGATTTGGCTTAACTTTGCTCCTGTTGAAGGCACAGTGGAATTCCCATGGACTGCAATGGGAGCAGATTTCACCCCCACAGTCACTACAGCAGATCCAGCAATTCTACTTCACCCTGCCATCTCAGGAAAAAGTTTACACAACTTGATTAATAAAAGAGATGGAAGTGTGCTCACAGTATTTCAATGCATTTTGGCAAAGACAACATGTTAACATAGAGCAATCACCCCTGGTATCAGCAGGTAAAAAATCTACTGAAGGCAATGGAGTTACATCACCTAATGACAAGAACTCTTTGGGTATGGCTACACTAGCCCCCTAAATCGATCTAAGGAGGCTAATGAGGGCGACTGAAATTGCAAATGAAGCACGGGATTTAAATATCCCGTGCTTGATTTGCATGTTCCCGGCCAGTCGCCATTTTAGAAATTGACTAGCCCGAAGTAACTGCCCACGTCTACACACGGCAGTGAAGCGGGATTCCGAAATAAAGCCCTAACTCGAATTAGCTGGCATTCCTCCTGCAATGAAGTTTAACAGCTAATTCGAGTAACTCGAATTAGCTGGCATTCCTCCTGCAATGAAGTTTAACAGCTAATTCAAGTAAGGGCTTTATTTCAGAATCCCATTTCACTGCTGTGTGTAGACACGGGCAGTTACTTAGGGCTAGTCAATTTCTAAAATGGCGACTGGCCGGGAACATGCAAATCAAGCACGGGATATTTAAATCCCGTGCTTCATTTGCAATTTCAGTCGCCCTCATTAGCCTCCCTAGATTGATCTAGGGGGGCTAGTGTAGACATACCCTTTGAGTTCACAGATGTCTGTAGGATTCCATCACAAAGTTCCTACAAAGTAAAAGCTACAAAGGTGGTCTCAATGAGGCTCCTGATGGACTGATGTCCATGACCCATCACCACCACAACAGGCATTAATATGTGCCCTTGCTTGGAGCCTGCGTGGCTAGGCCAAGGATTGGCTGTATGTTTAATCACTTTCCATTCCTTGTGATAATACCCGCCTCCCTCTCTCCCTCCTCCTCCCACCCCCCTGGTCAGGGTTGAAGCACATTAGCAGGTAGAGTTGACAGGATTGCACTGCTGATTTTACCTTCAATACACACTTGACCAATTACTTGGATATACTTAATGGACAAATAAACTTTGGGACTAAGTATGCACAGCTCAGGAGGTAAAATGTAAGAGGCAGAGTTCCTAGTTTCTGTGTTATGTAACAGAACAGTTTCCAATGCTTTCTCTTTTTATCTGTGATACTACTGAAATATCTTCCAGGAGAAACAATGATGGGAATAGGACAAGAACACTTTATCTACAAGTTTCTTTCTACATTAAAGCATATATTTCAAAATCGGAAGTTAGGAGAGGAGTACAAAAAATATACTATACTTCCAGACATATAAAATATGTGTCTCTGAAGATAGCCAGACCAGAGGAATGGTAGACTACTACCAATCTCAAGAAAGCAAAAACTCATAACTAAATCTACAGTATGTTTGGAAACTTACACAGGACTTGGCTAAAATCCAATACCCAAATCAATCTATAATGCATAATTCAGTGTCTCCAGAACACAATTTAAAATATGGTAAACAAGTACAATTTCAGCAACTTAACCAAAGACCTCCCCAAATACTTCAGGTTTTTCGACAGTATCTTTTTCTTTTTCATTTTCATTGAGCAATTTCCCAAATACTTCAGGTTTTTCGACAGTATCTTTTTCATTTTCATTAAGCAATGACCGAGAGAGCACACAATAGCCAGCTGTAAATACCTGTAGAGTGTTAACAACAAAGAGAGGAAGGAATATTTTTATGGCAGAGGTAATGAAATAAAACTGAGAGGAGATATTTTGATTATTTGGAAAAACTACCTGATAGCCAAAGGTCTGAATGAGGAATAACGTCCCACTGGAAGAATTGGTCTGAAAACCCCATCCGTTGCAACATTTAAAAATAGGTTAGAAAAAGCTCTAGGGAATATCCTTTAATGAACACTCTGATAATGGCTGGGGAATGAACGAGGTGGACTTAATAAAGCATGGAAGTTAAAGACGTAAGGGAAATGTGATGTTATTAGTTAATAATTCAAACAAATTATATATAGGAAAATTAGGGCTGATTCTACTTCAACTGCTTGCCTTCGGCTACACTTATATTTATCTCTTAGGTGAACCATATGATATTACTTCACTTCTTTCGTGTTCATGTCAACAAGGTGTGAAAAACATAGACTGGTAGGAACATAGCACTGGTGCGGGTGTATCATTTAGATGAACGATTAAACCTAGATTTTTTTTCTGCTCATGACTGGTGGCTGTCCAAGTTGACATTAAATATCTCACAACATTGTCTTAAAAGATGTAGAGGATGACTTCTATCTCCTAGTCAGTAATTCTCTGGGTGCGTCTAGACTAAAATTTTGGAAAAGCAGACATGTTTAGTCTGCTTTTGTAGACAAAGCCTCTCTCTCACTAAAATCAATTCCAATATCTATGGCTGCAAATAGCATACTACTGAATTACTCCCCTCTTTACTGTAACTGTTTTGTACTATGGAAACTTCTTTTTGTTTGTTGTACTTTGCCATACAATGTATTCAAATACTTTATAAGATCCATTTTTATTTTGTTAATCTTATTCTTTCTGCATCTCACACTGCACTTCCCCTGAAAAGCTTTGACTGGTGAAAGAGAAAAGTGCAAGCTGCTGAGAATTCCTATGGAATGTTTCTTTTTTCCTGAGCTCCTCTGGTATCTCTAACACTTAGTTAGCGGGGATTAACAAATTATTCTTTTGTACATTTTTCTCCCCATTTATCCACATAAAAAGCAATGTGACTAGAATTTATGACAGCTTGTTACAGTGCCAACTGATTTTTAAAGAGCTCTAACTGTGACATTATGCACTTTATCGGAGCGTTTCACCAGTTATTACAGTGCCAACTGATTTTTAAAGAGCTCTAATTGTGACATTATGCACTTTATCAGAGCGTTGCACCAGATCAGAACACAGCATCAAGTTATAAGACATAAAGAATGAAACCCCTTAGAGACTTATTAGATACAGTATCCAAACCATATGCAGGAACCACTATTTCACTAGTTAGGCACTAACAACTAGATCAGACTCTCAGTCTGTGTCTACACTGGCGCGATCTCGCGCAAAAGTGGCTGCTCTTGCGCAAAAACTTGCTGCCTGTCTACACTGGCCATGTGTTCTTGTGCAAGTAAACTGACATTCTACTGTATGAAATCAGTGCTTCTTGCACCAGAATTCTGACGCTCCCGCTCAGGGATAAGCCCTTTTGTGCAACTGTTCTTGCACAAGAGGCCAGTGTAGACAGGCAACATGAATTTCTTGCACAAGAAAGCCATATGGTTAAAATGGCCATCAGAGCTTTCTTGCGCAATAGAGCGTCTACACTGGGTACAGATGCTCTTGCACAAATGCACATACCAGTGTAGATGCTCTCTTCTGCAAAAGTTTTTGTAGAAGAACTCTCCCGCAAAAAAGTTTTTGTGTGAGAACACACCAGTGTAGACGTAGCCTCAGTGACATCAGCAGTAGTTGGATCAGGACCCAATGCTCAAATTCTCTGATTAGCACAATGCCTAAGGAGCTAGGCTGAGTGTTACACAGATGTGAGCAATGGAGGGAGGAATCTTCCAGTGAAGTCATTTTCTGCATAGCATGGTGATTGCAGACACCTGTGCTGCTCCTAAAATCCTGTCCTGACCTCATCCACAGAGTTACACTTATTCCACTACCAAGCAAGCCTTCCAAGCAGCAGCAGAAGTGCAGAACAAGCAGCACAGGCAGGGATGTGATTTGTCACCAAAGAACCGACCTCATGCATAGTTTATCCTACTGTTATTTTCACCAACTTTAACTGAATTGCTGCTGATTTATTCTTGGCCATAATAATTGTTATTAGTGGATGCTAATAATCAGATTAATTTCTCTAAATTAGAATATGAATACCTGGGAACACTAGTCACATATGGAAAGTCCATCTAGAATCACCAGTTGAAAAAAAATGCATGAGACCAGAGCCCTGCAGAACTGGACACCTATCTCAACCAAAGTGGAAGGAAACTGAAATTCTCATGTCCCTTACAGTGTGATAGTAATCATGCAGTGTCCATCTTTTTCTATTCTATCTTGTTCCCTCTTGGAAAAGAAGGCTATTAGGATTACAACTTTCACCAATAACCAGCTTTATTTAAACATGGCCAAACAGATAACATCATGCACAAGTTAGTTTGTTTTATGATGACCAGAGACTGAGACACTAGCAGGTTCCCCAGTGTGCATTAAGCTGTTATGGGTAAACTTACCCTTCTTCTAGCACGTGGTGCTGGCTCTGGTGTGTTAGGGGAAGTGGATTCATTTGGAGTTTCCGAGGTCGAGCTAAGAGATGAGTTACTGCTTGAGAGTTCTTTATTCTGTCTTTTAGTTCCAAATTGTAAGAGAGAGGCTACAAAGTCTGACACATCCTTCTGCTCTTCTCTCTGAGAATCCTGCTTGAGTTTGTAGGCCCGATCATTAGCAATCACTTGGGACAAGGGCATTCCAAAAGCCTGGGGTACAAATTCTGCAACAGAAATAGAATATTTACTATTATTTACTTGCTACATGTCTTTCACTTTTTATCAAATTTCTAATATGAGTGATCATCGTAAGGGTCTTGATTTTTTTTGACAATTTTGAATTATATTACAATCTCATTAACAGCCCCTCTCACTGATAACTCGCAGACAGCAATATACAGGTTGAACCTCTCTAGTCTGGCAGTCACTCTCAGGACCTGACTGGCGCCAACCAGAGAATTTGCCAAACCATGGGAGGTGAATATTGTCTAGCAATATTACCAATAGGCTGGTAATATTGCCTACTTAGCTCTTAGAAGACATTTAGGGGTAAATTAGCTCTTAGAAGACATTTAGGGGTAAATTACCAGCACAGAACACTGAGAGCCAGGACTGGTGGCTGTAAACAAACTTTATGGGACCACAGGAAACTTGTTGACACCCATGATAAGCAGACATCCAGCTAACTAATATCATTCCAGACCACACACAGGACGAGAGAGTGCTGGACTAGAGAGGTTCAACCTGTACTAGCAGCAGAGTGCAAAGGAAGCATAGTTTGTAGTTAACACACTTCAATATTTTTTCTGGGAATCAGGATTCTGTTCCCAGCTCTGTCACTTATTCCCTGCATAACCTTGGAAAAATTATTTTGGCCTTGTTTATACAGAAAAGCAGCATAGACTTAACTGTAAAGCTGTCTGACCCTCCTAATGTAGATGCAGTTATACTAGTATAATGATACTTTATGTTACTATAGCTATTTTTTATGGAAAGAGGAGTACACTATACTAATATAAGGCACCTTTATATCAACAAAATTCCTTCTGCACTGGAGGGAGGGGTGGTATTAACAGTCTATAAAATGAAAATATCATCCAAAATTCCTTCTGCACTGGAGGGAGGGGTAGTATTAACAGTTTGTAAAATGAAAATATCATTTCCCTAACAAACATACTGGCAGATAAATGACCAGGACTTAAGACTTTTTTGAAAATTTCATGCTAAGACATTTTGGCTAAACTGATCAGCAACAAATTAGTTAATAAGATTATCATTTAAAAAATCATCATTACGCTTTAGAGCTGCGAGACATTTGAGATTAACGCTATCAGTTTACTTGTTTATTAGAGCCTTGTGGTTCAGTCCAGTTTCTTTAGATTACGTAAAATACTACCACTGTGCATCAAAACAGAGAGTAAAATGTTTATTCAGTCTTTGAGACAGATTTATCCCAAATGAAAGTAGTGAAACTTGACTAAAGTCAATGGCTTTGAACCCACACATATCAGAATTGAATTTGGCACACAGACAACAAAAACAGAAATGAAGAGGAAGCAATTCCGACTTTGAAAACAAAGGCTAAGCAGAGATTCCTACAACTGCATTTTGTGTCACACTTTTTAGAAATACCCTACCAGACATCCTGTTAGGATCAAATGCCCAGCTGTATTTTGTAGAACACCTTTGTAAGTCTTAGTATTTTCACTAAGATTATAACAAGGCACTGAAAAAAGTGTGCTCCCTGAATCTTGAGTTAAAGCATTATTGTATTATCATACCTAAGAAGACAGAGAATCTATTTTGCTCCAGTTAGTTCAGATGTAAAGAATGTTAAGACACAAACCAATTTAGTGGCCAGACTAAACTAAAATTAGGAAGCTGATCCATCCACATCAAGTGAATTTGGAGGAGACCAATAAACTGAATGACATCTCAAGACTAATTACTTTTAATTTAGAACAAGTAAATATATCACAACAGAATATTTAAATGTCAGTCTGCGGTATGTAGTGTTGCCAAATCTAAGAGCTCAAAGAACTATGAGTCAGTTCACCCGTTACCTCTAAATGAGGTCACCTTTAAAATAATAAGATTTTTGTAAACACGTGGTATTGTTTTGGGTTGTTTGATTGTTTTCTTATTTAGTGATCCCAATTTGAAGGCAATCATTAAAGTTCAACTTTAAAAGGCCCAACACACGCTAGTGAAGATCTCTCCTCTGCTGTTTAATGGAGGACTTCATTTAAACAATTATATCAGCTATGGTAGTGGAGCTAATATTTGTTCCTTTCTCAGTTTCCATATCTATCCCTCTCCTTTCTCCTCCACATTTTCTCAATACCTTTCCTGCTCCATCAGACTGCTGACAAGATCAAAAGCCTTGAGCAAGAAGCGGACCTAAGACAGCTCCCTAGTCTAGAGATGATACATCTGTGACTAAAACGGGTGATTGTTGTGGTGGGGCAAAAAGACCACACCAAGGTGAACCAACCCTGCAGTTTTCAGAGGTATAGCCTAGCATTCATAAGAGCAGGGGTGGGCAATAATTTTTGATCAGGGCCACTTCACAAATTTCTGAAGTAGCCCCGGGCCACCCTGGAAGGGGCAGGGCTTCCTCACCCCCAGACCATATCTGGTCTGGGGGTGGAGGACCTCCTTTGCCCTCCTTGCCACTAGGCACCTATGCCCTGGAAGAGGCTTGGCACACTCCCCCAAACTCAGGCCAATCAGAGCCTGGAGGCAGGGGAGCGTGGGAAGCCTCCTCCCATCCTGCGAGGAGCCCAGAGCACTTTAAAGTGCCCTGGGCTCCTCGCAGGGCTGGGGCAGAACGAAGAAAGCTTCACGCAGATCCCCCGCCTCCAGACCCTGATTGGCCTGAGGGCAGGGGAGCGCCTGAAGTCTCCTCTACTTCCCTCCCACCCTGCGAGCAGTGCGCAATGCTTCAAAGCACCATGTGCTCCTGGTAGGGTGGGAGGAGGCTTTGCGTACTCCTCTGCCCCCAGGCCAATTAAGGCCTGGGGGGGTGACATGTGGGAAGCCATCTCTGCTCTGCCCCTGCCCTGAGAGCAGCACGTGGCACTTTGAGCAGTGTGCGGAGAGGGGGCACAGCAGAGAAGGCTTCCGGCCTAAGGGCAGGGGAGCAGCAGGGCCCACCCCCTTTGCGGGATGGATCCGGACTGTGGAGGCCCTTTTGCCCACCCTGCATAAGAGTATGTCACCATGAGTATGTCTAGACTACATGCCTCTGAGTCAATGAAGCGGGGATTTAACTATCCCTGCTTCATTAAAATAAAAATGGTCACCGCGCTGTGCTGGCTCAGCTGATTGTTGGCACAGCGCGGCAGTCAAGACACAGCTCGGTCAACAGGGAACGCCTTTGTTGACCACTCTTGTAAACCTCGTTTCACAATGCATAAGGGAGCGGTCGACAAAGGCATTCCCTGCCGACGGATCCGCGTCCTGACTGCCATGCTGTGCTGACGATCAGCTGAGCCGGCACAGCACGGCGGCCATTTTTATTTTAATGACGCAGGGGATATTTAAATCCCTGCTTCATTGACTATGTTGGGTAGCCTATTTTACATGCCTCTGTCGGCAGAGGCATGTAGTCTAGACACACCCTATGTGTCCTAAAAGTCTGAAGCAATTCCAAATCATCGTGACCAGGCATGCCTTTAGATGTAGATCAAAGACCCAAACTGTTTGGAACCTCTGCTCTGGCAAGAAAGCCCTGTCCTCTGTAGGGTCCATGACTCTCCCAATGAATTCTATTCTTTGAACAAGTATCAGAATAGATTTCTCTGTATTGATTAGGAGCCCCAATATGTCAAAAGCGGATAGACTGGACCAGCCTCTCACTAGTACTGGTACTGAATGTTTTGTGACTCCAGTGTCAGTTTTGTAACCACCATTAATCACATGAGCCACCACATGATTCTGTATGCCCAGCACCCCACCCAACCAACCACTCATATAAAATAATATTAAATCTATAACCATAAATAGAACAAAATACAGGCAGCCCCCGGGTTACGTACAAGATAGGGACTGTAGGTTTGTTCTTAAGTTGAATCTGTATGTAAGTCGGAACTGGCGTCAGCCGCTGCTGAAACTGATCAGTTTCAACCGCGGCTAGATCTGGACGCCAGTTCTGACTTACATACAGATTCAACTTAAGAAACCCAGGC